GAAGACAGTTAAAGCTAACAACAAGCTGAAGGTAGAGGTGGCGAAGGCCGGGAACCCGCTGTTGGTCCTGAGGGACGTCATGGCCTACCATGAGGACGCTGATATGGTGGCCAACATACTGGCCCAGAACAAGCACCTTACGACGGGACTTTCGGCGGATGACACCGCACTCAAACTCCGGTACCGAAAGCGTGCTAGGAACACCCTGCAATGCCACCCCGTCCTGGAATTGTCGCCTCTGCTGCACAAGAGGTTTGTGGAGGCCGGAAGAATATATATTGGACTGCAGAGAGTAACGGTGCAGGACCACTCCCCGCTCGTGCAGTGCATGAGATGTCTGGGTTACGGGCACACCAGGGCCATGTGTAAACGCGAAGAGGAGCACTGCAGCTACTGCGGGGGTCCCCACACATGGGAGAAGTGTCAGGGCCGACAGGAGGGCAGAGCCCCGACCTGCATAAACTGCGCCGCAGAACATCTACCGGACAGTGAGACCAGGCACAATGCCTTCAGTGCGGAGTGTGCGGTCAGGCGGAAGTAGGATGCGATAGCAAGATCACGGATAACTTACTATTGAGAAGGACGACAACGTGCAGAGAAACGCGCCGCCGAAACCGGGGGCAATAAACAGGCTCAAATTCATCCAGGCCAATCTACAGCGATCAAAAATTGCCACAGCCGAGCTGATCCGAGCAGCCGAGGCCGGGGGAATAGTTGCTGCAATAATTCAGGAGCCCTATACGGGGAAGCATGGCACCGTCAGAGAGTATCCGGACACGAGGGTGGTTCAGTGCACCCTGAACCGCCAAGGCCCGGTTAAGGCGGCCATTGTAGTTTTCGGAAACTGGTTGGAGGTAATCCACGACCCCCAGCTGGTGACGCAAACGGAGGCGGCTGTTCTCCTGAGGGCGGACAATCTGCGGCTCGGAGTAGTCTCGGTATATTATGATGGCGGGGAGGAACTGGAACCTTATCTGAGGCGGACTCAGAGGGCGTGTAGTGGGTTAAACGCGAGCAACATAATAGTAGCCGGGGACGTGAACGCCTGGAGCCACTGGTGGGGTAGCAGTACCGAAAATGAGAGGGGAGCGAGATACACAGACTTTCTGGCAGAGATGGACCTTCAGATCCTTAATACAGGAGACACCCCGACCTTCGAGGTTCCCAGGGATGGCAAAATGCACACTAGCATAGTGGATGTCATAGCATGCAGAGTGTCACTGTTAGGGAGGATCGAGGACTGGAGGGTCAACAGGCATCTGACAACATCGGACCACAACGCCATAACCTTCTCCCTGCGCATGGGGGAGGCGCTGCACGACCCGAATATTCAATGCCAAAAAGGCAGGATTTTGCGCAATCACTCAGGAGGGAACTGGGAGAGAACGGCCTCACAACCGGCAAAATTAACGCAGCCAGAACAGGGAGCGAGCTCGAGGCAATTACAGCAGCCTACACAAACGCCATATTAAAGTGCTGCGAAGAAACAATGCCAAGGGCCGGATACTACAAGGGGAAACCAACCCCTCCCTGGTGGTCGGAGGAGCTCCATGAGCTGAAAAAGGACACCCTGCGCAAGAAAAGGAGGATAAGAAACGCTGCTCCCTCAAGAAAGTGATACGTCATTGACGAATACCTGATAGCGAAGAGGGAGTATGCGTCCAAGGCCGAAACAGCTCAAACTCAAAGCTGGAAGAGTTTCTGTACCGCGCAGGACAGGGAGAGCATGTGGGACGGGATCTACAGGGTCATCAGGAGGACAACCTCACCACACTCGTGTCCGGGAGGACTCTGAAAAGGAGTCATTACCAGTGACCGACACATCGGCTGACGACCCGCCCTTCACATTGTCGGAGCTGGAAGCGGTTCTCGCGACGCTCAACCCCAGAAAGGCGCCGGGACCGGATGGTCTAACGGCAGACATATGCGCGGCAGCGATCCGGTGCGAGAGGGAAATTTTCCTAGCAATGGCAAACAGGTGTCTGGCACTTGCGTGCTTCCTAGGGCAATGGAAAACGGCCCACGTGGTAATTATCCCAAAGCCGGGGAAGGAGGACTACACTCATCCAAAGTCCTACAGACCGATAGGACTCCTGTCTGTCCTCGACAAAATAGTTGAGAAACTCGTGGCCGAGAGACTCCAGTGGCACATCCTTCCCACCCTTAACCACAAGCAATACGGCTTTATGCCGCAGCGCAGCACCGAGGACGCCCTCTACGACTTGGTGAACCATGTAAAAGGAGAAGTCGAGAATAAGCAAATAGTCCTCCTAGTCTCACTGGACATCGAGGGGGCTTTCGACAACGCATGGTGGCCTGCGCTAAAGACACAGTTGTCAATCAAGAACTGCCCACCAAACCTGCGGAGCCTGGTGAAGTCTTACCTTACAAACCGGAGCATATGTGTGAACTATGCTAGGGCGAAGTACGAAAAAGAGACAACCAAGGGCTGCGTCCAAGGATCCATCTGCGGACCAACCTTTTGGAACATCATTCTTGACTCGCTGCTGAACAAAATAACCGGCGAGGGAATGCACTGCCAAGCTTTTGCCGACGACGTGGTAATAGTGCTGTCGAACCACTCCGGTGGGGAAATCGAAAGAGCGGCAAACAGGATCCTGGGAGTTGTTGTCGAATGGGGCAACCAGAACAAGCTTAGGTTCGCACCGCAAAAGACCGGCGCTATGGTGATCACCAGGAAACTGATGTACGACTCGCCCAAGCTGGTCATGGCTGGGGCGCCCCTTAGCCTGGTAAAAGAGGTTAAAATACTGGGACTAATAATAGACCACAGACTCTCCTTTGGGTCGCACGTCGCCGCAGTATGGAAAAAGGCTGCGGACATATACAAGCAACTGGCGTGCGCTGCGAGGGTGACGTGGGGTCTGAACGGAGAGATAGTAAGAACAATTTACGTTGCGGTCATAGAGCCAATAGTCATGTACGCCTCGGAAGTGTGGAGCCCCGCGACGAGGCTCCGGACGACCAGAAAACGGCTGGACTCGCTGCAGAGGGGCTTCGCCCAGAAAATATGCAGGGCTTACCGAACGGTCTCCCTTACGTCGGCGTTGGTTGTAAGCGGCCTTCTTCGTCCAGGAGGCCGCGACACTTTACCAGGCTAAGAGGGGTCTATCAGCCGACTATGTACCGCCTGGGAGGGAGCTGGAAAAGAAGACACACTACCTGAGTCGATCTCACCCCTCGCAGACGATAGCGACCAATTATGAACTCCTGGAAAACATGGAGCCCGACACCGTCGCCCGGCACCACATCGCCAGTCCGCGGATATTCACAGACGGCAGTAGGATGGGGGGGAGAGTGGGGGCTGCACTGACTTGGTGGGAGGACAGCGGGGAGACCGCTTTCTGTACTTATACCCTGGATCGCTCTTGCACGGTATTCCAGGCCGAATTATACGCACTGCACCGGGCGATCTCCCTGGCAGCGGGGAGCGGCAGACCGGTAGTAAACGTGCTGAGCGACTCCAGGTCATCACTAGAGCTTCTCCGAAACCCCAGGGCCTGAACGGGACCTGGAAGTTAGACCCCCGGGCCGTGAATAAGGTGTCATCCGCGTAGCAGATTACACCCAGGGTAAAAAATTCAATTCCCGAGAGGCAGTACAAAATGCCTTTGAAGAGATTGTTGCCTCCCGTCCAGCTGATTTTTACAAGAATTGCATCAATAAGCTGCCAATGCGTTGGCAAAGATGCGTCGATTGCATGGGTGATTACTTCGAATAACAGAAATAAAAAAGTTTGAAAAAATAAGTACTTTCACTTATTGCATACAAAACGGCAATTTCATAGGTAAATACCTAATATTAAGTTTAGTGTCTTTATAGTTGACTGTTAAAGATAACTCTTATCTGGGACAAATGCAGTAGGAGAAAAATAAGTGTACTGTACTTTTGCTAAATCCTATCCATGGGCCCAATTTGCTGGCCTCAGGTTGTCTAAGAACTGAGATATCTATTTCCTCTATGTTGTTGTTTAGATTCTTGTGCTGATTTTAAATAAGATCGTGTTTTATTGTATAATTTACTAGCTGTACCATGCCACGTTTCGCTGTGGCACATTCTGGTTGCATTGATCAAAAATGAAGAACAAAACTAAAAAGAAAAATTGATCAAAACAATCTTTGAAGCGGGTTGTAAATAGAACTTTTTGAGTTTTTGAAGCGTACAAAAATCAACTTAACATTTTATGTATATAGATATATTTTGTGTAGTGTAACAGGAGTTGAGTTTAAGCTACCTGCTTGGGTCCACAGGTGGCGGGAAGGCGAACGTCCTATAAAGGACAGCTGTGAATAGGGTTTACCAAATAAGCAGTTTCGGACCGAAGCGGCAAGGTAACGGGGATAGCGGATATCATATATATATTTGGATATAATCCAAAATTATATTGAGAAATGGCCAGCCTGCACCACCAGTAAGTAAATGTTTGCCTAGGTATTGACAGCAGGCCGCCAGCATTCCTTAGGGCGAACCCCAGAAAGAGGCCTACGGTCAAGGAAATGAGCAACTATGAGCGGGGATGGAAACCATCAAATCCAGTTACAATACTGCGATCACCAACCTGTCGTAGCTGGTGTGGTGAATTTAGCTAATACCCCTCAGCGTCGAATCAATCCATCAATCAATTGATGAAGAATTAGTAAAATTAATAAATTTTATTGTAATCATAGGGAGTGCGTAGATCTGGTAAACATAGGCTAATAAAATACCAATGTATAAATAATCGTTTTATTTCGTCTCTATCAAAAGAAATTCGACTTATTTCGAACGTGTCTTTCGTCGTATAAACTATAATATGTATGTATATTATTTACAACATCGTAAAATTACGTTTAGCGGCGACCCACGACGCCGGAAAAATACAACGGACATTGAGGGTGTCACTGGATCCCCGTAACAAATAAATTATAAAAATTGCATAGGACACGGCTCGGCCGACCTCCCGCGCGACTTGAGTTACAACTGGAGATTGGTGAGCGAGACTAGCGCGGCGGCGGCGGCCGCGGCTTGGCTGTCGCGTACGCAATCTCTGAGAGGCGCACGTCGATCGGCGCACGCTCGTCGTACAGCGTGGGCGCTTGCAGGATGATGCCCGCCGATCCCACCACTACGGCCAGTGTAAAAATCCACAGGAACAGTCGGTCGAGCACCATTGCCACGTACTTCCAATCCTCCTTCACCTGTTACACATAATATTAATACTTAATTTTTGCCAACAACATCGCACGCATGCGTATGTTCGAACAGAAGAATTCGAGTAGGTACTAATACGTGAACTGATTCAACAAAAGGTCAATATAAATAATGTTATGTCTGACCCTGGTGGATTCCTCCTCCTTACGCGTCTGCTCAGCGATATAGTTGATGCCGTCGATAGCCTTGTTGATCTCGGGGCAACGGTGCCAGCGCCGCAGAGCGTCGCAGAGCGCGGGCGTGTCGTGCAGCCGGCACGCGCGGCAAGCGGCGCACGAGCGGCACGCGCCCGCGGCGGACGCGCCTCCCGCGCCGCACGCTGCGCCGCCCACACCCCCCACGCTACTCGCGGTCACGCCGCCCAGCGGGGAGTCTTCGTCCCATGGCGCACTTTCACCCGCTCCGGTAACCAAGCCGGCGCTGAAAAATCATTACATGGTATGAACGTCGTTGTTTGTATGATCTATGTCGCCTAAACAATTTCCATAATCGCAGTAAATTAGATGTTAATCTGTAACAGTTGTTATCTTATATTAAAAAAATCTCAAAAAGAAACTTGAGAAAACTCAACCCAGGCTTTAATTTGACTAATTTTGTAAGGTTCTTACACCAAGAAGTAAAATGGTAGATAAGTTAACTTGTTATAACTATTCATTGTACGAGTATATAGCTAAATATAAGTTTATGTTATAATGCTTTTTGTTCGGGTTAATGACACTCTTGTTAGGTGGAACCGATCGAGACCGAAGCTTGAAATAGTGTACTAATGAATAAAATGTACGTATTGGCGTAATAGGCTGGCATGACTATGTACGGGTGCATTGCTCGTACAAATTTATTGCTTAAATAAATTTAATTACAATAAAATTAAGTACGTAAGGCTATGTCGGACTCGAACCGAACAAAAACCTCACGCCGTTTCGGGTACCAGTAGCCGGGGAACCAGGTGTACCCTAGAAAGAAAATCCCTGGTACCCCGACGTACCTCGGGCCATCTACGGCGGGTAGATGACTCCCTCCTGTATTCTCTTTGTGCTCCCAAGAACGCGCTCCGCAACACGTCCCGCCGCCATCCTGGCCTGCTTCTGCTAGAGTGACAGATGGCCTCACCTGTCACCCCCAGGCCTGCGCTTATGTCGTCCATAAGCGCAGGCCTGGGGGTGACAGGTGAGGAGGTCGTTCTGCGACCTCTGGCACGTGAGTAGTCTGCGGTACCTGGCCCGCCTGGCGGGCCAGGAGAGTACTAATCCTCTCCCCGTGCCGCTCCACCATCTTCTTCGCAAGCATAACTTGCTCGCACAAGGAGACGGCAGAATCATGTCATCGAGCGAGAGAACTCCCACTCCGATGGCCGCTACGAGGTCACGCCTCTGCTCCACCCACGCCAGGCATTCTACCAGCGTGTGGTGCGCCGTGTCCACGGTCCGGCCATTGCAGTGGTGGCACTCAGGCGTCGGCTCCTTGCGGATCAGACACAGGTGATCCCCGAAGAATCCTTTCCCAGTGATCACCTGCGTCAGCCGGTATGAGAGGCTCCAGTGATGCCTCTCGAGCCAATCCTCCATAACGGGTCTTACCGCCGCGGAAAACGGCGTGCCCGGTGATAACAGAACGGGAAACGCCTGGCGTCAGTTTAAAAAAATTGCTTTCAAAATTGGGAACAAAATTATGATTTACCAAAGCATCCTTACTTCTGGTTACCATAGCACCGGCTCTGCCTGATTTGAGATCAGACTGCCATGTGTGAGTTGTGAGTCGTTATTATTTATTTATTATTATATTATTACATGATTTATGTTGTGGTTATTTTCAATTCTTCCAACATATTTTTTTTTAAATTTAATCACTTTATGCTCTAATAAACAATTTCATTGTAAATAAGTATTCTTGGTTATGAAAAATAATTTCAAATGATACTTGAACCATTTTCTAAGGATATAATGTTATTATTGTTTATTATTAAGATGAGCTGTGAGATTTTACACATCATATTTCACTACAGTATTGTTTTTGCACTTTATTGGTTGCATATATTATTTTGATTATTTTAAGTCACTCAAACCCTTTTTTCTTTCTCTGAAAACCTGAGACTTTTCAAAACAACTAAAGGTAGAGTTTTACATTTAAAATTATTGAGGATTTTTGTTTAAATAGGTAAATTATTAAAAATAGTTGTGTGTGCTTACATGATGAATGTGTTTTAGTGTCAGAAATCTGAATTAGGTTTATTTTATTTGTGGTCGGTACAGTCCGGCAAGTATTAACACAGTTGATATGTTATCGTAGACGAGTATGTGTAGTGAGTGTAGTGAGCGGAGTGTTGCAGTTACTAACAAGCGGCTGCGGTGCGGGTCGACGCGGTAGTGCGGGCGGCGCATGACGAGCAGCCGCGGCAGCACGTGGATGAACACCCGCCGCACCCACGGCGCCATCGTGTGCGTCTGCGGCGAACGGAAGTGCACATTCAGCACCACTACCGTCACGCAGATACTGCACAACACACACACCACTACATATACACTGCACAGCAAGTAAACCGGCCCACTCGCTACCTTCTAACTCTCATTTCATATTCTAAAGAAGTAAAATAAAACTTAAAACTATCAAAGTTATACCTGCAGAAAGTACGTTTCATGATGAAAAAAATGAATGGACACTCATTGGGGTTGATTAGTTTTAGCGTTTATCAATCAAGAATTTTACAAAGAAAAGACGTTCTCCAGTCGTTTTCTGAACAAAAAAATCCCCCTATTACTCAAACGGCGTATGTTCGAGCGGTTGATATTGCCTGTCATGACCTATGACACTGAAACCTGGACACTGGATGAATGTTTATTTAATATACCTACATTCTTACAGTGTCCAGGTTTCAGTACGGATTTATATACGGATTAAGAATACGTGAATAGGGTTGGCCTATTCACCCCGTGGGTGTCGTAAGAGCCGACTAAGGGAGCAAACTACGTAGGACAACAGCACTGCAAAGAGAAGGAAAACTTGAAACAAACCCTATTTCAACCCGTCTGGCCAGCGTGGTATCCAAAATGCATGCGTGGTATGCTAAAACCTCCTTTCTAAGGAGAGGCTTATGTCCAGCAGTTGACTGTTTTAGACTGTTGATGATGATGATATATTAATACCACCGCAGCAACACACACTGCATTACATGTTACTTTTACTATTTATTTTATTTAATAAGTGTCTGCATAAAATGTATTGTGGGGGCTCCCATATACAAAGAAACAAAAACATACTATATCGCCATCTAACGAATACACACCGAACTATGGAGTAACTACTGAATAATAATTGCTAATCATGTATCGCTATATGAAGAATTCTCTCGCCGATTGGCATATCATGCCGGTCGGGCCGCGGCCCACCAGGCATGATCACCTCGCCTGGTCGGAGGATCCTCCCTTTGTGTCCGAGGGACATGACATCCGTTCCTCCACAGTACAATGGCAGACTTAATGCCGTAGGCATTCTCTACCAGTCTACCATAGGGTAGGGTGGAAATGAATGAGAGTTGCACTACTCTTTAGAAAACTCTTTATTTGTACACCATTTTACAAAATAGCATAGTACATAAAAATTTCAGACATGTAACGTCCAAAGGGATGGCTTTATTGCCAAGAGCAATCTCTTCCAGGCAACTTTAGCATGGATCAAAATGTTTCGGAGAGACAGTTATAACAGAAGGTGCCTTGAGTTTTGACAGGTTAAGTGCTAATGAATATAAAGGAGGCAAAATTAGATAAATCTAAACACACACACATTGATATCAACAAATATACATACATCTATAACATTTATGTATCAATCGTAAACAAAAAATAATATTAAAAAAACATTGGCATCACATCATCAACATTGCCTCGATACATAACTTAAATTAAGATCCATAAAATTCTTCAAAGATTTTCTTAAAACTGTTTATTGCTTACGCTCCCCCTGATATTTATCGGCAAAGCATTGCACAAGCGTACAGCTTCAACAGTAAAACAATGGTCATAAAGTTTTGTGGAATGCAGAGTCTCAAATCTCAAATCTTCGGATAATCTCAGACATTTTTCATGTGGGTTATTGAGCTTGACCGTTCTTTGGGGTAGAAGGGGCTCTAGGATAGAGAAAAGGAGAAAAATGAGAATATGAGAATCCCGGCGATAGCCAATCGGCAGCCACTTGAGCTTTTGACGGAATTCAAAAACGTCATCATATTTTTAGTCCAAATACAAATCGTATACAGAGATGTTTCATATAAAAAAAAAACAAAGCCAGAAACCAAAATAAAAATTGAAAAAGTTTTCGTCAGTATTTAGAATTACTTCCCTTTTACTGGGATAACAGCCAGCATCCACGTATTCATCGAACTTACATGCCTCATGATGAAGTCTTTAAGAATTGCATTCCATTCCTGTTAAATTGCGATTTCAGTACTGTAGCAATGAGAAATCAACCCAGGTGTATCATCGGTCAATCATATGCAGCTAACGAGGTACCGGCCCAGACAATTACAAATCCTCCTCCATTAACAACAGTTTCCTCGATGCAACGCTGAGAATAACGTTCTCTAGGGCGACGATATACTATCTGACGTTGATCACTCTATGTAGACTCACCCTTATCTTATCAGTTAAGAGTACATATAATTCAACCTTTCCATTCCTTTCCAACCATTAAATTCAAGCAAATTCGACTGGGTTCGTTGTAATAAAAAGAACGCTAATCGCTAACTGTGGTCAAAAGAGAGCAAATCGTTAGCATTCTGTTTGTTGCTTGAATAAAATTTGAGTTAACCATATACTTAAGAATATAAATCATATTAAGAATATATATTAATTCTAATCAATATAAAACGCACTTTCTATAGGTATTAGTTTAATAGTTGTAAGTTTAATACTTAAAAAAACCCGGTTTATTTGTTGTCATGTGTACGATCAATGGACTAGTTATATAGAGGTTTAAACTTTAGACTTTAAACGATTTATACGTGGCGAAAAGACATTGTTGTATTCATTGTTGTATTCTTTGTTATGTTGCATCAGTTGCATGCTATGTTTATGTTGGTGCTCTATGCACATTTAGAAATAGAAAGTTCAACAAGGTTGACAAGAATGCCTAATACAGGCAGATGTGTAATACGATTACCTGAATGTGTCGAGTATCATGGTGAAGAGCACAAACTTTCCGAGTAGCGGCACGACTAGAGAAGTGGGCGGAATGATTTCAGCCAGCAGCAAGAAGAACACGGTCAGCGAGAGCAAGATGGAGATGGACAGCGACACCTTCTCACCGCTGTCTGAAGGTAAGTAGAACACCAGCACGGTCAGGAACGAGATGCCCATGCACGGGATGATCAAGTTCACTGTGTAAAAGAGTGTCTTCCGCCGCATCGTGATGTTGAACGTAATGTCCAGGTAAGGCTCGTCGCAACACGTGTAGAATTTTTCGTTTCTTTAAGGCAATGAAAGCATGCGGGTTAGGTTAGGAGCAAAGTTCTATAACATAACATCGGAATAGGGACGAACAATAATAAGGCTACCTGACTGCTGGCACCTCAAGGATGTCCCATTCTACGGAGGTATAAAACTCGGAGAGGTCGACCCCAAGTTCCACAATATTGGTCCCGCGCGCCTCGTCGATGTGTCGCAGGTCCACCTATTGACAAAAAAAAAAAATAATAAACAAATCCTTAATTGTATGTCTCCGATTACTTTCATTCATGAATTGTAGTACCGCTCACCTGGAAGCCGTCGTAGGTCCAGGAACCAAACTTCATTACACAGGTTTGCTGGTCGAAAGGGAAGTACTCGACATCGATTTCGCAGGATGACTTGTAAATAGCTGGCGGTCGCCATTCGACACGGCCGGTGTAGTTGAGCGTCGCCTTCGTAGCCAGGGTCACCTCGAAGTTGCCGTCGGCACTGAAGACAAATGCGATTGGGTTAGCAAACAAGAGACATGTGTAATACAATGCATAATGTTAAGGACCTCACTTGTTGTAGAGCACTATGTCTGGCCGCCAAATGTGGTCGGAGGGTACGTGAAGCATCTCCACACCGCCATACTCCCGTGGCTCCCAGGAAAGCTTGTAATCGTACCAACTCTGAAAATATTTCATATAATGCAAATTCTTTGAGAATATCATAGAGCCGATGTCAAGATCAAAGTCATCGCGGACTTACCTGCTCCACCCATAAGTTGGTTGTCATGATTTGGTTCTTCAGGTTCTGAAATAGAAATAAGTAGCTTCAGAACGTTTTTGGTGAACGTATGTTGGAAAGTCGGTATAAAGTGTCGGATAGCGAATACACTCACCACGTCGATGAGCTGACTCAGCTTGAGTTTGATACGCACGGTGAGCGCGTCGCTGACGTTGAGCACCGGCCGGACAAGCTTGTTGTAGTTGGAAAGTAAGTCGTCGTAGAGGCGCTTGGCATCGGGGTTGCCTGCGCACGAAGCGAGCGCGAGCACGAGCAGCAGGGCCGCGTGCTGTGGCGCGGCACGGCGCGGCATATCCGCCGATGCATGGCGTCAGCGCATCGCGCCGCGACACTGCACCGCGACCGCACCGACCCCGCCTGCCCTCGCCCTCGCTCTGCACACACATGGACCCATTACATGCGCATACATTAGGGTGAAGCGGCAATGTGTAAAAAAAAACAAATTTTATTAATTGTTTTTGAATAATAATAATAGTGTTTTTATTTCCCATTACCTAAGTATTACTTGTAAGTATAAATGAATTTCACTTAAATAATTAAACTTAAATAAATAAATCTTGTTAAGTATAATCTTTAAACTGACTGACTGCACGGAGGGCGTAGTGGTTTAAGCGGTTACCCAGCCGCTTCTTACTGCGTTGAGTATTGTGGGTTCGATCCCTACATGTACCCCACATGTATGTACTTTATTTATCAATGAAATGTAGCGAATCGGTATCGCATACGATACCGATGGAGAGGTCATTGACACTTGCGCTCCTACCGATTGCAGTGTGTCTACAAACTGCGACTTTGTGATGGTAATATATAATAGCATACAACATCGAGTTCGTAAAGGAAGGCTCAACAAAAAAGACATTACAAAAGCCGCACTCAATTATAAATACCGCCAGTGACAGACCATTATTAGTGGACACGTACGATAATCTTTACAGAATACCTTTGAAGGATATCTGTGCCTTGGCGTCCAGATCAGACATATTTCTTTATGCAATGTCAATTAAGCGTGTAGTACTAGTAGATCTCACGGTACCGTAGGAAACGAACATCCTAAGAACTTGTTTCTTTTTAAAGACGACGCTTTAAAAAGAAACAAGTACTTTGACTTAACCAACGAAATAACCAAAAATGATTATTTCGTACCGTTGTATGCCGGGGAAATGGGTGCAAGGGGTATACCAGCTAAAACTCTCTGTAAATTACTTCATTAATTATTATCATCATTAGCAGTCCACTGTTGGACATAGGCCTCCTCTTAGAAAAGAGGTTTTGGCCTACTATACCACTCTGGCTAGGCGGGTTAGTATAGAGTTTATTTCAAGTTTCCTTCTCTTTGCAGTGCTGTTGTCCTGCGTAGTTTGCTCCCTTAGTCGGCTCTTACGACACCCACGGGTTAAATAGGGATTTTAAAACTCAGTTTTCTTAATCGATCACCAGACGAACAATAACCAATACTTAAAGACTTTGGATTGCCAAGAGCTTCAGTAAGCTCTTTTCTTGAACGAATGTCCAAAGTGGCATTGCTAGGCTCGAACCAAATATGGTCAGGTAGAGGGGGTAACACAGCACACAGTAGAGGTGAGCGCAAGGAGTACTCCCTAAACCTGCTCTTGGGTCGCAATTCCCAGGCGCGATGGCCCGGCACCCGCACGGTGAATCAATGAAACGCTAGCAAATATAAAATCTTACATCTACTAAACATAAACCGGTAAAGCGTAAACCGGGTAAAGTGTAATAAAATTTAAAAAAAGCATTATCAGGGCTGGGTAAATTATTAGCATTAAAATAGTTGACTGACAACAATATTAATATGATGTAAATTGACTGTGTCACTGATAGTAGTTCTTTAAGACTTTATTTTTAATTCAAACATTGAACTTTTTCAATGTGCGGGCGAATTTAAAAGCCCTCTGAAGATGCGTGTTTAACCTGGATTGGAGCCAATGGTGAGATCACCCTTGAAAGTACATAATGCACTAAGGAGTTGCCTTGCCGATAAGATGGATGTTTACTTAAGCTAACAATTCTGTGTGAACGGGAACGTGTTGTATGAACTTCGACATAATTAGTGCACCGGTAGGACATTATAAAACTATTGTAAGAACGTTTATAATAAAACCTCCGCCTCAATGATTATCTTTTATTAAGATTCTAGATCAGTTTCACAAGGTAATTTATTTTAAATTACGAATCGTTACACGTTACGATTACACGATACGACAGGAAGACCATGAAACTATGAACCCAGTCTGTGTGAACCGGCACGTTAAAAACCTATAATACATATTGTACTGATAGCGTTTTGTAGTTTCTAGTCCTTTCGTACTAAACGTTGGACCGTTATCATCAATAAAATTGCTTGGGTATTAAAAATAAAAATAAAAACAGCGTGAGGGGTCAATGGACCCCCGGTCGGAACGAGGTTCCTTTCGCTTTCTGATATTATCAAATCAAATCAAATCTTTTTTGCCAACCAAGTGTACATTAATGGTTTTATTTTGGTTTTACCAAGGGTACATTATTAGGTATATTCATTCTGTTATTCGTGTAATAAGATATGTAATTTGTTATGTTTTTTGCTTCAATGTATTCTCTAACTGAATAGAAACATTTTTCAATTAAGAATGCTTTTAATAAAAAGTAATAATAATATTGTGGTACAATATTATTATTACTTTTTATGTGGATGGGTAATTTCTTGTATATTTTTACAGTCATGTTGTAGGGGCTTTGGTTTAGCATTTTAATTCTTGATGATGGTAGGTATAGTCTGTCTCTGTGGCGTGTGTTTAAATTGTGATTGGAGTTTACTCTTGTGAAGCGATTCATGTTCTTGGATACAAATATGCAAATGTCTAATATGTAAAATGAGTTGTTAACCAGGAGTATGCGTATGCGTCGTATGCTGACAGTGCGGTGTTTTCGTTTGTGCTGCATTTAAGTTGGAATAGAGCATATATTATGTAAATCGAGATAGATTATTTTTTGTAAAAAAAAAAAACATTTTACCACTTTCGATGTGTGCAAATCGTTGCTGTATATCAGAAATAGCACACAACCGAACACGCTGTCCTACGGGATTAAACACTTTATGCTTCTTTTTTTCAGATCGCACTATTGTAACATCATTTATATTGGAGTCGAAATGGTCAATTTGAGCTATTTGTGATCTATTTTCCAAATATGATCGAAACCATGTGTAAGCTGGGGCGCAAATACCAGAACCGTGCAGTTTACTCAAAAGAATGTCGTACAATACTTTGTCATATGCTTTCGTCGTGTCAAGTAATACTCTCAGTACATGTTTCTTGTCATTTATATATTTTAGGGCAGTCTAAAGTGCAAAAGTCAATTAGAATTGTATAGCTCAAACACGATATACTATTCTAACCTACTGCATTACGCTACAGTGTGTCACAATATCTAGACGTACTCAAAGGCGCGCAGCTTTTTGACACGTTGCGTCTTTGCTTATTAGCACACCTACGCACCACGCTGCAAGAGGGCCTTACTTACAGATGTACTTTCAGATCAGATTGCAGTAGCCGTGTCTCAGGCGGTCGGTTAAGAAAATCCAGTGATCTCATAGCTAGTGAATTAAATATGAAATAGAGCCTAAAATGACACATAGAAGGATATTCACGCCACCATATATCAAAAAAACAAAAAAACATCACTACAAATATCCGCGATATTTCAATTTTCTTTGCTTTAACATCCTATTTATCATGTACGTTTTGATAGGAAATTCATTTTCTGTACTAATGATAGTAATCAAGGCGGAGGTGAGAGAGGGTCCGGTCACCTCACTCACTCGGTGAAAGCATTGAAAGAACTGGTTAACACCTGTTGTCTGAGGCCGTGGTGTCACCTCATACGTGTCGAAGCGCGGCTCTCCCTAGATAACTTGTTTATTTCAGTGATTTCAGTCATAGGCATGATTTTCAAAAACCTTTTTGTGGGACTGGGTTGAATGAGGGATATGGATGTGATTACTCACAAAAAGTCCCACAAAAAGAAAAATATAAATTATATAAATGAAAGAAAGAAATATATAAGTATTCTCTTCAAGTCAGAATAGATGAAGTGGCAGTAGGTGACAGGAATAGGCAAAGATCTGAGTGTTGGCCGTCAGAGAGGATAGATGAGAGACGCTTAGATGTAGTTAGTTAGTTAGGGACTTTACAAACATGAAACGGACACAACGAACACTGAGAATTTGTGGTTCACACAAAGTGTTCTCCCACGAGGGGATCGAACCCACAACACTTAGTGCGGTTGGAAGCGGCGAGGTGACCGCTTAAATAATAATATTTTTTTCTGCATAAAATGTGGTACAAAAGGGTGGTATAAAAATATAGGCATGATAACTACTCATTTTGGCTTGTAGTTTTTCATACAATAGTGAATTGAAACCAACTTAATTTCTAAATTAATCATACCTAATAAAGTGAATCAGTTTGAACAATATACATGTAACACTTTGAAACGGCGCCAATGATGTCTTTATAACATTCGTATTACACACCTACGATGCATTTCTAAAATGATAAGATGGACACGAGTTTTTTTTAAAGAATTTGCTGACAGAGTAATAACAATCGTATACCAACCATTTCCTTAGCACAACACAAAACTTCTTGAGCGGTAGATCACTAGGTATTGTATTATATATATGTGGCGCCATTTACACGCAACATTGTCGTAATAGTTCCTTTCTGGGTATTGGTATGTTTAATGAAAGTTTTGTTTGCTAAAATTTGTTTCAGCTTAAAAAAGGGAACGGTTATTTTTGTCAAATTTTGCAATTTCAAATATATAATGCAAGGAACAGTCAAAAGTTTGTAATGTTTAAAGACAGCTTTACAAGATAAAGTTCATTCCATGTTTAAAAATTACGAATACATATTTTCTAAGCTATATAAACTCTTTTGTCCGTGTGGTGACGGATTAAGAATACAGAGTGTCACCACCCCTATTTATCCCGTGGGAGTCGTCAGCAGCGACTAAGGGAGCAAACACAAGGGGACAACAGCACTGCAGAGAGAAGGAAAACTTGACACAAACCCTATACCAACACGTCTGGCCAGCGTGGTATAGTAGGCCAAAATCTCGTTTCTAAGGAGAGGCCTATGTCCAGCAGTGGACTAGTAAAGGCTGTTGATGTGTGATGTGATGAAAAACTCTTTCAATTTCAGTATTTATTTATTTTATATCAGAATTATCCCAAATAATAATCCCATCCGATAAGGTATCGAGGTCATCTCAAAAATAGTAAGTAATGAGGTCATT